CACAAATTGTTCCACCACTGGATAAAGTTAGAAAATCCACACATTCTGGTTAAAATGCTAGTATTTTACGGTAACACTTTATTTGAAGGGGGGTGAATAAGACTGTCATGATACTGTCATAAACATGACATAACAGCTGTCATGAACATGAATAAGCCTTCATGAATATTTATGACTGTTGTCATAAAGTGTCATTCGGTAAATTATGACACTTTTAATACAAAGTTGACATTATTCAAAATGTCTTTGTTATGACAACTTGACATTAACCAGGAAATCATTACTATTTAAACTTTACCTTTAATAACATAAAGTTACCTAATTTTTAAAGTGCAATCAGTAATACTTTTATAACAAATTTATATCAGTAATGATTTCCTGGTTAATGTCAAGTTGTCATAACAAAGACATTTTGAATAATGTCAACTTTGTATTAAAAGTGTCATAATTTACCGAATGACACTTTATGACATCAGTCATAAATATTCATGAAGGCTTATACATGTTAATGACAGGAGTTATGACATGTTTATGACAGTGTCATGTCAGTCTTATTCAACCTCCTTCAAATAAAGTGTTACTGAGTTTTGTTTTTGTTTTTTTTAGTTTGTTTTGGCTCTAGTGGCCTTTATTTTGATAGGGAATTGACAGGAACGAGGGTAATGAGAGAAAGGGGAAGACATGCAGCAAACGTCAACAGGCCGGGACTCAAATCTGTAGCAGCCGTGAGGACTCCATACTCCTCACGGCTGCATAAGTAAAAGATAAAGCTCAACGCAGGCAATAACTATATATTCCTCATGCTTTCCTTCAGCATTTGTTTGTTGGTCTCTTCTTGTGTTTGGAATAGTTGACAGGTTTGCGAGTGTCTGTGTGTTTTCTTCCTAACCAGTCAATATTGCAGGGGGGTGTGATTCCCCCCACGAGCTTCAAACTGACGGGTCTGCACAGCTGGACCGAGAGAAGAGAAGGGAGTTTGAGCAAAAATTCAGACAGCTGAGGAGAGAAGTGGTCGAGTGGAAAGAGAAAGGGGGAGGAAGCATGACATGATGGAAAAAAAAAAACAGATTTTTTTTTTAAAGATATGTGGACTATCACTGATGGAAGTTATTGCAAGTGTTTAAGATTTTTATCGATCCACAGGGAAGAAACTTAGGTTACCGTACTTCCTCTTTATCCAATCTAACCTACTGAGAATGATAGACAGTGAGGCTTTACTCACTTACTGCTGTGTGAAAGGAAGAGGCTTGAAGCTTTAGATTTCACATGGTGTTCAGCAGTTATGGTGAAATAAAGGAAATTTGCATGTTTTCTTTAAAATTCTGGTAAAAGGTGATGATTAGGGTGATTGACACCAACGGTTGCATATCATAAGTTTAACTGCAGTTGTGCATCATCCACAGTTGGCTTCAGCCGAGTTATAAAATGTAAATACTGAGAAATGGCAAAAACATTTAATACTGATTCTGAGATTTACATTTAACCTTGGAAGCTACCAAATTAGGTTAATATGGTTTAACTTATTGCCTGAAAAGAATCTGGCAATCTCGTGTTTGTCATCAACACTCTCTTATGATTTTAAACTGTGTATTTTAATGTATTCAATGATCAATAAAACTATTCAAAACAATAAAAGCCACATTTTAAAAATCCAGCATGTGCGATAAACACATTGATAGCACAAACGGATATAACAAAGCAAATGGGCTGTACTTCATTTTCTTCTCTTGTTTTCCACTGAGGCATTGCTCTCACTTGCAACCTGATTGAACTGTAGACATGTTGTTACAAGACAAAAACAGTTGCCTTTTAAATAAACCCTCCCATGCCTGGCTTACTCTGACATTTTAAAATTCCTCTCTGATTCTGGAATTGGTGAGCCTTGAATCAGTAACTGTATCACCAGTTACTGAAAATGTGCTATATAAATAAAATTACCTTACCTTACCAAGGAGTGTTTTTGTTACTGTCAAATGGTAATGCTTAGTGCAGCACATTCTGATTGGAAAAAGTATTGATTTGGGGGTAAACTGGTAAAGCCTGATCAACATTCAAATTGGAATCAAACAGTTTCTTGAAGCCTCCCTAATAAAAAAAATTCCAGCAACTTGTACCTTTTATCACTGGCAGTTTATCCGATTGGCATCTTAAATTTAGTCTTATGGCTATTTCACTAGCCATAAGACTTGGAATAGACATAAGAAGCAATAGCTTTTTCCATCATTTTTGTGTAAAAGAAATCGGCAAGAATTGGAAAATGGGTCCATTTAAAGTAGTGCTAGAATAAGCACAATTAGCTACTGCAATAGTGCTAATGCAGTAATGCAATTTACTATTAGATATTTATTGGTATACTGCACCAGTATGCCATCCATTCGGGTGGTATACAGTGTTTGTTTTATTTGCCGAGTAGCTAAGGTTTTCCACAAAGTTCTTCAATTGACATGTTGTATGATTAACCTGGTAAAAAGCAGGTTAATCATGCTTTTTACCATTCTATGCTTACTGTGACATTTTAAAATTCCTCTCCGATTCTGGCAATAAAACGTGCTGCAGTTCAAAGGGTTTGGACTCTTGGTTTTAGAGAACCGATTGCTTGCTGTAGGTGTGGACTGTGCTGAAGTTTTAAATTTTACCCAATCACTAATATTTGGCTCAAAACCAGAAAAGTAATGTAGGCAATGCTCCAGTTCGATGCTTTGAAGCTTACCGGAAATTTCCTGCACTGTAAACAGCCATCCTCCACTGTGAAGAGAGAAGTGCCAAGTCGAACGAGATGGATGTTAATTCAATATTTGGAGGCGTGGCCAACCGGATGGCTTCTTTAACCTCCTCCACCAATATTGCCAAACTACAGGCAGACTACATTTCTAAAACAGCGCAGAAAATCTGCGTCTTCATTGACAACGTTGCTGATTGGCCCGGTTGAAATTCTACTGGAGAAATCCAGGTCAATGGAAGAAAGCCCAGAAGGAGCACCAAAGGGAGATGAGAATAAAATGGAACTGAATAGGAAAGCAATGACCAAGCTAGGGTATGATAAATGCTTTCATTGTGTCCGAGGATTAGATCTAGTTGGACTTGAGAAACACTTTCAGAGTTGCCTGTGTTCATGGAGCTTGACTGGCTTTATAGGTTTTCCCTGTGTGTGTGTTGGTATGAGTTTGTCTGACAAAGCTTAGAGGACAGCCCATCTCCCAGTTACTCCTCACAGACACTCTAAAGAGACAGAGAGAGAAACTTGTTCCACCCCTCCTCGGGGATTTGCCTCTCCCCAGGGGGGCTGAGAGTACAGACCTGTTGCCAGCACTGCTGAGTGAGAGAGCAACGGAAGAAAAGAGAGTGTGAAAAGACTGAGGTGTAGGAAGCAGGGCTCGTCTGACGGTTTCAGTTTCTACCAGAGTTGAGTATGCCTCAGCGGGAGGTTCTGGCCACCGGCACACCTACCTGCGTGCCGATCGGCTTCCAGAAGGAGCTCGTGTTGTTGGAGGAGCTGCCTCTTCATGCCAGAGCCCTAGGCCCAAGCCTCTCCCCGCTGCAGCCTCAGACATGGGGCCGGTCTGCTGCAAGCCGGACAGACTGAAGAAACAACATCTCCAAGGTAACAGGAAACAGATGCTGGAGAGTTTTTACAAGTGTGGCAGACAGTGGAGTGGAGACCCAAGTGCCTTTGAGACTGCTAGAGGCTAAGATTTACAGCAGAATCGGAACAAACTTTTTTTGTGTTTTGAGTTAGGCAGTCATTTGGGGCTCATTTTACTTCTGGGATTTAGACATTTGAGGAAGACTTAAGCATAATGTACATAAGTGAAATGTGCCGCTTACCATGGCAAATAGCCTCGTCTCAAGCACCTTTTATCATGTTTGTGGGAAGAAAAAAAATTTGTGGGAGATAAAAGTTTGAGCTTTTTTCTTTTAAAAAAAAAACAAAATTAAATGTACTTTAGCATACATAGCTTACATATTTCACTCAGGTCCCTCAGGACCTAGTCCAAGTCAGTCAGTTCCTCCAAAAGACAGAACCCCCAACCATAACTTGTTTTGGTGACTTAACTCATAAAAGTTTCTTCTTAAATGCAAGGAATGGTCCAACAAATATACCACAGAAAGGAGGTATATGTATATCTTCTTATGCAAGAAGATGTTATGACATTAAGGATGCATTCATATCAGCTTAATCTGCTTTAATTGAACTCTAGTTTGTTTGCTTAGAATGTCCGGTTCACTTCGGGAGGTGTGAAAGCACAAACTCTGAAGAGAACCAAAAGGAGTGAACTCTGTTCCGCCTACAAACCTACATCTTGATTCAGTTGACGTAAACTTTGGTGCAACCTGAATGCATGTGGATGCCAAGCAGAGCAAATACCGGTTTAAAAGTAAGAAGCAGACTAAGAAAGCAGAAAGCAGGCTGTCGTGTAGGACAGTGGTTTTCAACCCTTTTTTGGGCCAGCGCCCCCTATCCATTATCCTTACCCCCCATATCAAAGAAGATGTAAGCTACTTGCACCAAATATTATTTTATGATTAATATTACCATCATTATTGTTGCCATCTTGATTTATTGTTTCTGCATTTATCATCAAAAATGTATCATCATTTTCAAAGGTGTCTAAGAAAAATGAAATGGACATTCAACTTAAAATTGGTATGCCAACCAGCAGCTAATCAGAGTGGAAACAAATTCTTGTTCTGTGCCATTTTCTGATGTTTGTTGTTAAATCTTACACAAAAAGAACAGATAAAAAGTGTACAACAATTCCATCTTTGAACAATTTTCAAAATTACTATGCTCTGCAACAGTAAAACATGGATAGAACTGCAACTATATCAATCAGAACTTTTCTTCTCTTCAGCGTTTCTGCCAGTTTCTGGTGGTGCAGCTCTGTGCTGCCTTCAGGAGAATGGGACATCAGAGTATCATCCATAAAATTTAATCCACATGGCATTTACTGTGCAAACCAGTGCTTTCAGAACAAAAGTTCCAGGTCCTTTTAATGTCACACAAGTGGGACAGAAATATGGATGATATTTTCAATAAAACTGTGTGTTGATTTATAGATTAATAGTTACACTGTACAGAAATTACAAAAGGCAAGGCTGGTTCTTAATCAAATCCTAATGAATCAAATTGAAAGTGTCATGGAATCACTTAACAGCATCATGACATTAATATCGACATGAAAAATACTGAAGAAATAAATGTATAAAATAATATTTAATTAAAAGCATAAATAAGTAATAAGTTCCTTGCCAT